CAAGAAGTCTTTTTTCGTAGCCGGCGGGCAGGTAGTGAAAGGCAAGCGTTAATGCATTGACCTAGGTCGTGTTCGGTCAATACATCTGGGACACAACTTCCAAGTTTTTGATTTTTTGCCATTTGCCGCAAACGCTTCGAATTAGGTGTTTGAGGACTCCTGACTGATCTGCAAGCACTTGTCGCGCTGGCATTGAGTCTTCATACAGTAGAGCATGTAATGCCCCATCTTCAAACGTTCGAGGCTGCTGGTCACTAAGGTCGAAATCACCACTTCTAAAACGTTTGTATCATTAATTACACACCTCAAAAGACACAACGATGGTACCAATAACACTGCCAATTGATTCCCGTGATTGAGAAGCATTTTTCCTTGTTCGAGTTCGTAAAAGATGCAGTGCAATCGAGTGTTCTGTTCATCAGTTGCCATCGTAAGCTCTGCTGTTCTTAGAGGTTACGTAACTCACGTAGACTTGTCGTTCAGTGTTCCGAAACCTTGGCGTAGCTTCCTTTCAAAGCCACAAAAATCGCGAAAATATTTTTTTATAATTTAATTTTAGGCTCAAAGAAAAATCTGCAAGCATTAAGTCATACATCCAATTGTTCAAAATCAATACAATTAGGATCGTAATATTTTTGCCCAAAAGAGATGCAATTTCTACTTATTCCTTCAAACTACAAACAAAGCAATCGAACCTGCTACGTCTCGAAAACGAACCAATCTAACGAGAAAAGCTCATAGGAAAATCATTCTGTTGTAAATAGCTGGCTTTCTATTAAAATACACTGGCATTCTTGAAACATAAGAAGAATACAAATAAAATTAAGACAAGTATTAAAGAAACCTCTCATTTGTAAAACCTATTAATAAAACATTACCGAAAAAAAACAATAATAAGGTTTTTGACGTTGGGAAAGTTTTTTTTTGTGATTTGGAGTAAATTGATGCAAAATGAAGCATTGTAATTTAGTTTAAAGTAACATAGACTAAAAAAGCCAGCAAATTACAGGTGATGTCCCGGAACAAGGTGAGGATGTTTTTATTAACAAAACACCAAAAAGACAAATGGTTTTTTTTTAAAATAACCCAAAGCAGTCTTGGTATTTGATTTTAGGTAAACATTAACAGTACCTGTTGGCAATACTCAAAGTGCGAAACACGCAGTGAATTTCTCCGCCTCGTCATCTTTGCCTTCTTCTGCGCAATCCTAATAAAAATGGCCGTCATCTTGTGTGTGTTTCTTTACACCTACTTTCCCCCAACCACTAGATCCAGTCACATTTCAGAAGGCTTCAACCTACATCCCCCCACGACGGACATTGGACTGGCTGTGGACGTCGCAGTTGAACACCACGACGACGACAGAGATCCGAGCACGTAGCAGTCGGTGGGCGCGGGAATCCCGACGCGCCAAGGAACACTGTTCCTTCAACAACAGCCAATATTATTTGTTCGACTTAATCATACGAGTTCTGGCGAGATAACACATTTAAGTTTTCTGGGCGCCACATTCATGCAAAACAATCGCTTGTGAACAAGGTGTAATATAAATAGCATTTACGGAACTCCAGTCTCTGAATATGCGCATTGCGTCACAACAATCTGTCACACTGACGTACTACGTACAGTGCACTGGAAAATTACTTAGAATTTGATGAGGTGTGGGAAATCATGAGCACAGACAACATGTTCTCAAAACGAGTCCAAACGACAGTGGAAACGAAAAGCCACAGGCTTTCGGTTCGGACAACACGGACCGAACTGTCTACTCGCGCGACTACTTCTGCGAAACGTTTGGATTTTGACAAAAGTGAGTTCAATATTTATTACTGCAACAATGGCTAAGTAGGATGATATTGCGGGAAAAAAGCTATAAGGATCTATGCAACAGGGTAAATCGCATTAATTTTTTTGAGTTGAAAAACGAAATGCAAATCCAGCCTTGAGAATTCCACACGAACAATGTCTGATGCAGTATGGTTAGCTTGAAAACAATGGGTTGGTGCGAAAGTAACGCAGGGTAACAAGAGTAATTTGAAATACAGTCATAACTAGGAGGATGATTATTCGTGACCGCGATCTCCGTTGTGGTTGGTAAAATCAGTTAATTTGGCATACGAAACAACAAAATCTCACTAATTACTACATTAAACGGTTTATAAGTAAAACGGACACGCCTTTAGCACTAACTCGATGAGTTCACATACAATCACGCGCACATATTGCAACTTGACCATCCAATGGGAACCATTTGGTCCAAAACTGGTGTTTTAATGTGACAGCTTTGATAAAAGCTTACAAATCAAATCTAGATGAACTATTCAACACAAAGTCTCCCGTGGCATCGTATTCGCGTCCCGGACAAACCCCTTTTGAAACAGCAAGCCAAATATCAACGCTACTTAACGTTAAAAAATTAACATTTATTAGGGAAATTTATTTGCAGAAGAAATACAACCAAGCTAAAACCAATTCAACAAGATCATTGTCGGAGACACATTAGCAGTAGACAAATGCTTGGCACACATGCAAGAGTGCACGTGGAGACTTCATTCGAAAAGACCAATTGCCGCCATCAGACCTACACCGAGCACAATGGCAGCCAACTCGGCAGTGGCTTGACCAAGGCGGCGAGATAAGACCTTGGATTTTCCCTCACTCGCGTGTTCAGAGAGCAGGTCAGGCATTACTGAGACGAGGGCTATGTAAATGAAGCCACCTGCTGTAAACGGCAGAAGACACGTAGTGATGAAGGCTGGCGAGAGCAGGACGGTGCTTCTGTCGAGACCGACAACGGTGACATCAACTCCCACGCCCGCAGCTACGAGACTGAGGCTTGCACCCAGGAGTGCGCCGAGAGCAGTTACAAGTTGCAGCATCATGGCCTAAATAAAAAAAGTCGTTACTCAAATCAAGAGAGTAGTTATTTAGGCAAAATGTCTAAAGTATACGTACAGAGTAAACACCACAGCCAGACTTGACGAGAATTGCGTAGTCACCGATCTCGTGGGGAAGTTCGTGAACAAGAACGGTAAGGGTAGTAACGTAGCCAACATTGCGACTTATCAGGAAGGACCCAGCTAAAAAGATAACACAAAAGAATAGGGGTTTTAAAGATTTATCGGAGTTCCGTCATACTTTTTTTTAATTTTAGTGAGAGATTCATGATGATTTTATTATCTGTGTAGCAGCAAGGTCAATTTCGCGAATACTTTTCAATGGCTGATATAAACGATAAGATTATCAAGCGAAAAAACAAAGCCGAATGGTCTAGTAAATCGCAGACAACCGGTGATGTGTAATTAGTTTTGTTGCACCATGACGATAAATGTTTGTTAGGAGAATGGATTTAAACGGTCAGTAACCAGTCGGTACGATAAAAAATGAAGTCAAAGACAACACTCAAGTCACATTCTGAAAGTAAAAAACTCAAACTCAAACAAAAATTTTAGTACACATTAAATATGGTAAACAAGACATTTAAAACGTAAAATGTAGGCTTAACGGGATTCGGTAAGTCTTCAAATGTCATTAGGGTGACTGACGTCACGTACCAAAAGGATTGATGAGAGGTAGAATTGCGTGCTCATACAAAGTGATGCAATTTGCAACCACGCTATAATGGCACTTAGCAGCGAAAAAATATTCATATTTTCACCTATTTAAATATTTAGATGAAGTAGTTCATCGGAAACACCACGTAATTACGCAAATAATAACAGTAATACCAGCCAAAAGTTACAAATGCTGTAAAATTGAGCAAAACGTCATTGAACAATCGTAAGACATAGATAAGCGCTTAAAAAATGAGGTGCATTGGTTACAGTTAATGAACAGCAATGAAAGGATGAAAAACTGAGTCTTAATAACCTACCAATAGCGATACCATCGGTTAGGTTGTGCGTAAAATCAGCGGCCAGGTTGAGGTAACCAGATGTGTTCATTGCTAAAAATAACACAAAATGCTGAGAAAACCTCGAATGCGGTAACGTGTACACACTATGGAATGGTACGTGCAAAAGCGCGTTTGAACATTAAAAGGTGATTTTGAATATTTTCACACCTTACGCAAGTACTAGAACTATGTTAAACAAGATAATCGGTTGCAAACCAAGCGGTGCAGCATGACGGCAAGAGAATCATAAAAAATGAAAAAAAAAAGGAATCTGATTTCAGATCGCTTAGTTACAAATAAGCTGCAAGCGTCATATCAAAATAGCATTTCACAAGCCATCTTCAGTTAAAAAAGTTTACGGATATTCATAATTTCGGAATGAATAATTTAAATACTGACCACCAACATACCAGGTATGCTCTTAACTTTGCTCTTGTTCGGTGCATTATGAGTGGCAGCTTTAGCATCGCCAGACTTTGCGCTTTTCTGCTTCTTGGACCTGACCTCGGCAGCAGGTGCGGCGTGGAAATGACTGTGTTTACTCCTGAGAAGTCTCAGTAACTTGTCAATGCACAAAAAGCTGAGAATCCCAAATATGACACACAAGAAGACTCGTGTGTTACCCTCAAACAGGGAGTGTGAATGGCCGTGGGCATTATTTTCGTGTTCTACATGGCTATGAGAAAGTGCGTGGGGTATGAGGTGAAGGAAGGCATCACCAAGGAGACCACCAGCAGCAAAGCCCAAAAGAATTTTCAGAAGGGCTTGATGCGTGTTGAGATCAGGAACAAGAAGCAAGAGGACAAAGGGCGCGATGCTAATGCCGACAACAGAGCCGATTGTGTCCATCCAAACTTGATCGGCTTTCACCGCGTCACTGTGGGATTCATGATGGTGGTCGTGAGGATGCCCATGAGAGTGACTAGAAAACAAACACCGCAACGGTCAATAAGAAAGGAGATTGCTAATTAGCCAATACTAATATACTTGATATTCTATTTTGAGGGGCCCCAAGAAATTATGGCAAACAGGCTAAAATGTGAAGGGTTGTAAACTTAAATTCCCCACTAAATCTGAAAATGTTATGGTAAAGAACCTACTGTTGTGAATTTAATAATACAAAAATGTGAGAGCAAAAGATTCAGGTAAAACTAGTTATGTGTTTCAAGCAAATGGGAGACTTGAATTGTGACAATGGTAAAAGTTGTGTTACTCACAAAGCGCAGCTACAAAATAACCAAAGTCAAATTACTTAGGAAAGACAGATATGCGCAGTCTGTGCTTGAATAGCAAGCAAAAAAATTAACGAAAATTCAACAGGGCATGCTATGAAAAAATAGACCTGAAAAACATTAAATTTGTCGTCAGCCTTTGGCACTACGCTTCCACTCGTCAAACAGACTCAAAGAATTCCTTGATGGCACCATATCAACTGATATATAAGAAAGGTAAAACAATAATCGTCAAAGTACATACAAAATTAATAAAAAGAAAAATTTCTCCACCTGTGGTCAGATTTTATGTGATGGTCGTCTTCAGTGGCATTCGTACAATTTAGCAAGATGAGAAAAGCCAAAAACGTGGCAGCCACGTAGCGCATCACGTAGTGGGAAAAATGGAGAAACTGACGCAGCCCAATAGGCTACGTCCAACTATTGTAGGTACAGCCTTGACCTAAATTTGCGAAATGTTGAAACATTAAAACAAGGTTTAACACTGGCCTCTTAATTTTTATATTTTCCTTTAACTGTCGCATTAATCATTAATTATATGTTATTTTATGGATGTAAATTTGGTAAAACTAGATTTGCAGCAGAATTTTCATGTCCAAGGGATTTTGTTTAAAACAACAGATTAAAAAACAACTAATATGTACTAATATTAAACATGGTGTAAAAAAGAAAAGTATCAAGAATTATATAATTTGAAGACACTTTCAAAAAGCGCGTATGATCTTTAACACTAATTATTCACTAGATATGATAGCATTATTTAATTTTCTGTGCTTTTTTGATGCTTCGGTGGTCTGACTTTAAAAACGGTCACATCTGATGTCGCCTGTCTTGCCTCCATTCTCGCGTTTTTACGGACTGTTCCATAGGGAGTTTTTCAAAAGTATTTACATAGTCTACTGTGGAAATCAATTGAAGTTTTCACCACCATCTTCTCTATTTACTAAGAATTACCGAAAGGCAGCAATCCTTTATGCATTATGCACACTGCAGTCACTTTTTTCCGTAGTGTTCCAAGCCTCCGGTGTGATTTACAAAAATTAGGGCTTTTTGGTAAAAGAAGACCACTTTCTAGTACTTTACACATTAACGTTCTGTCGCATCGCTATCAAAAGGTGTTATTGCAAAGCTTAATTCAGTACCTTCCGAAAACCAGTGCAAATCGTTTTAAGCTACTGCATTTTACAAATCACCAGACTGGCGAAATCAACGTAACGATCATTTTTAATAATTCTGACTCGTGTTTGAAGAGCCTGACAGAAAGCGCATAAAAATCCACGAATATATATTCAACATAGGGGAAAGAAACAATTTCGCATGATGTTGCGGCTATTACTCAGAAGCTAATCGCTATAAACACGCGGAAACTGATAGATGACCCCATGTAGAGGGCATATCAGCTTTCCAAAAGTCAGCCGCCTCGTCTACAACAATCTTCTTCATGTTGACGACGATCCATATTTTGATGCAACCTTCGCTACTTCACTAAACTGAAACCTTGGAATAGAGTAAATCTAGACTATGAGTTGTGTGTAATTTGACTACCTAGTAGCGATCTGGAGGGAATGGGCATCGTGGTTTATTGGACTTCTTTACAACCTTCTGC